CAACAAACCTTTTTTTTTTTTTTAAAATAAATTTAAAAAAAAAAAAAAAATTAAAATAAAATAAAATATAAATTTTAAAAAAATAGTTTAAACTCTTTTTTCTTTCTTTTATATAATAATAAAATAAAAAAAATTAAAAAAAATAAAATAAAATATTAATTTTTTATTTTTTTTAAAAAAAATTTTAGATTTTCTCTTTATTTTGAAAAAAAAAAAAAAAAAAAAAAAAAATTTTTAAAAAGTTTTAAAAAATAGTTTTATCACAAAACAAAAAAAAATAATAGTAATATAACAATAATTTGTCTCAATTTTTCAAATTTTCAAATCCTCGAAATAAACAAAAGCAAAATTGATCAACAAAAAAACATCACTACATTGCAATAACAAAAAACAAGATATTGTTAATTGTTTGGATGAATAGTTAATATAATGGATTCAAATACAAGTAATATATGCTTTGATCCAGGTATGTATAAAAAAAAAAACGAAAAGAAATTTTTTTTTTTTTTAATATCAAAAAAAATAAATAAAAAAGATAAATTGTATTTACTAATTAATTTATTTATTAAAGAAACTGATGGACTACCAGATGGATCAAATGCATTCAGGATTAATATAGAAGATTTAGAATTTGGTCCAGAAATTGGAAAAGGTGCATATGGTAAAATTTTTAAAGGAGAATATTTTGGGTAAGCAGATAGTTAGTTTGTTACATAAATTTTAACCTATTTTTTAAAAGGATAAAGTATATTAATATACTTTTATAATTATTTATAGCACACCAGTTGGTATTAAAGAAATTTCATTATCACCAAATGATGTTAAATATAAAGATTTAATTAAATTTATACAAAGAGAGGTAGCAATGTTAAGATTTAGCCACCCAAATTTAGTGCAGTTTATTGGAGTTTCAGAAAAAGGATCAAATTTATATATTGTAACAGAATTTGTATCAGGAGGAGATTTAGCATATTATTTATTTAGAAACAAGAATGATGACACACCAGAGCAATTTATGCACAGAAAAGTGAACATTGGAAGTAGCTCAACACCAGATTTAGATACAACAAGCGAAAAACTAGTACCATTAACATGGCCATTAAGAATAAAGATAGCTTATGATGTAGCATGTGCAATGGCGTACCTTCACTCACGTCATGTTATTCACAGAGATTTAAAATCGACCAACTTATTGGTTGGTGACAGCTGGAAAATTAAAGTGTGCGATTTTGGATTTGCAAGAACAGCATATGCAGGTCGTGCTAAACGTACAATGACAATTTGTGGAACTACTAATTGTATGGCACCAGAAGTTATATTGGGACAAGACTACAATGAAGCATGCGATGTTTTCTCATATGGTATCGTTTTATCAGAAATTATTACACGTTTAGAAACAACCAATAATCTACGTCCCTCCTCTTTAAAATACGGTTTGGATGTCGATATTTTATTACCGTTAGTTCCAAAAGATTGTCCACCTCCATTTTTAAAATTGGTTTTCGATTGCACCGAATACGATCCTGACCAAAGACCAACCTTTAAAGAAATTACCGAACGTTTAAAAAGTTTAACCAAACGTTTATCAATTCCAAATGTTTTACCACCTCTTAGAATACTAGCTCAATCGCCAATTACATCACCATTACAATCACCATGTTCAAAACTACTTTATAATAATGTTTTTAAATCGATTTCATTAAATAATGGTAGCACAAGTAGTAACAATAGTAGTAGTAGTAGCGGTAGTTTTCATCAAAATAACAATAATAATAATATAGAAATACAGGTAAATTGTAATAGTTTTAATAATAATAATAATGATATACAGAATAATGATAATATTGAATTAAATGAAATTTTAATCAATATACCGAATAGCCCAAATAGTAATTTAAATTTAAATATAAATGGTGGTAGAGAAGAAATAATGTCACCAATTTCAATGGGTGACGAAAGTGATTTAGATTCAGATGATGATTTATTAACAGAAGATGACTCATATTCATCAGCATCATCATCAAGATGCAGTTCGAGAAATGGCGGTAAATCTTTTACCAATGGAAGCGGCGGCTCTGCTAAAAAGCATGGAATGGGTTATATTATTAGACATCATTATGGAGATGTAGGTTTAGAATTATCAGGTGGAAGCAGTCATGGTGGAAGCGGTATCAGTTTAAATGTTGAAGGTGTATCTTCATCATCACCAATCACAATTCAATCAACATCACCAAATTTATTGGTTGGAATAGGTTTATCAACAACTCCATCATCATCGAAATCACCACCATCATCATCACTTTCACCACCATCATCTGTAAAATCTTCAAACTATAGCAAATCCATTTCCCCAATCAATGGTATTGGTGGCAGTAGTGGAAGCAATAGTAGACATAGCTCACCAAAATCAAATCGTTTCTCAAATGGTTCATTAAAAGAAAAATTTCAACAATATCAACAACAACAATTTAATTTAAAATCTATTGGTGCAAATTGTAATGATGAAAATGATAAAGAATTGGAAGAACTATCAAAATCAATTGATGACTCTTTAAGATTACAATTTTCTCCATTAAACATTTCACCAAGTGGCAAACATTATTTTAAACAAATACAACATAATAACAATAATCATTTAATTTCTCCAACTATAATCTCAACATCAGCATCCTCCTCATCAACCTCAACACCTTCATTGGTAAGTCAGTTGTTAAGAGTAGATAATTCAACCTCAACATCAGCCACATCATCTCCTGCTACTAAACCACTTTCTTCGATTGCTTCAAATTCCTCGGTTTTCACTCCATTAAGTGGTTTAACTAGAACTGTACAAAGTTAAAAAAAAAAAAAAACTACCAGTAATATAATAAACAATAATAATAAAAACATAAGAATAAACAGCTAATAACAATAAAAAAATAAACTTATTATTATTTTTTTTTATAGAAAATATTTTTATATAAAACATTTGTTTTTTTAGTAATACATTTTATAAAATAATATAAACTGGGATGTGAATGATTTATTTTATAATTTATTTTCTTTTAATAATTTTTCATAAAGATATAAGGCTGATAAAGTTTTACCATCGTGACTCTTTTTCCATAAATCTTCTAATGGTACAATATTTAAAGTAATAGATTCGTTTTCATCCAATGCACCTGTTAATTTATTTTGTAATTCTTCGATTTTAGCTTGATCTAAGGTTTCTCTGAAAAGGAATAATCTAATAAATTCATCACAACCACCTGGTGATGGGTAAACACCGTCTACTGATGGACCATATGATAATTTGGTTAAATCGATTAATTTATCTTCTGAAACTTCTAAACCAGTTTCTTCTTTTAATTCTTTAGCAGCAACACCAACAAAATGGCCGCTGCCATCTAACATACCAGCTGGGATTTCGCTATATTGGAATGATGCGACTGGAACACGGGTTTGAACTGTTAAAACACTGTACTCTTTACCGGTCTCTTTGGATTTTAAGATAACTAAAATAGCAACGGAACCGCCTCTGCAAAAGATAATACCTGGTACAACTCTATTGTCTTTAACTGTAACTACATCTGCTTTAAATTTAAGAAAGCCTACATTTTTACCAAACATATCGACTGATTGGATTTGAATAGAGTTTACTTTTAATTCCTCCTTTTCAGCTTCCATTTTTTTAATCCATTTATTAAAATTTGGTGCATTTAAAACAGTTTCTGCATTGACATCAGTTGGGATGATTGAAACTGGTACATCTAAATTATTGATTTTAACTGTGGTGGTAGTCATTATTCGTTTTATATATAAATTATTTATAATTATATTTTTAATAAAATTATTTTTAATCATTAATAAAAAAAAAAATTAAAATAATCTAAAAAAAAAAAACTAAAAAAATAATAAAAAAAATTAATAAATAAAAATTAAAAAATCTAAAATTTTTTTTTGTGAAAATAATAATAAAAAAAATAGAAAAAATAACTTTTTACACAAAATTTTGTAATTCTTTGTATTTGTTGTTGTTTTTATCATACAGAACATATATATTTATTATATAAAATATATATTTATTATTTTATTTATTTTATAAAGGAATTCTAGATTAATATTGTAACATTTATGAAAAGTGGTTTTTTTATATGGAGAGAGTTGTGTTGGCGGAAAATATAAATATTGTTATTGGGCGATGCTTTGATTAATTATTTTTTTTTAAAATTTAGAAATACAATGATTGCTTTAATTTAGAAACCAGAGTCACGTAAATAATCACCTAAACTTTCAACAGCTTTAGCGGCACTACCTGGTTGGAGAGCAGAATCGTATTGACCAAATAAAATACATTGATTGGTTTTAACAATAACAATACCACCGGTATCTTTTTTAGCGTAAATTGATTTATCGTCGGCTTTTAATACAAAGTTTTTGACACCATTGATGGTAATACCCATTGATGAGGCTTTGCTGGAATCTTTGAAACAAGCGATAATGTGAGCAGCTTCGGTGGCACTAACAGTGAAACCTTTTGAAGTAGCCCAGTTTGAACCATCAGCAGCTGAAAGAATTTGAGCATTGATGAAACCAGCACCAATTAAATTGCTATCGACGTATGCTTGCCAAGTCATTTTTGATTTATATATAATATTAATATCTATTGAAATAAATAAATTAAAAAAAAAGTAATTTTAAATAAAATTATTATTAATATTTCTTTTATTTTATTTTATTTTATTTTATTTCTGCATTTGTTTTGATTTTATTCTATTCTATTCTGTTCTATTCCATTCTATTCTTTCGTCTAATCCATTTGTTTTATTTCTTTTGCTTACTTACTCTTTAATTAGAAAATGAAAATAATTGTTTAGTTTTTGATGAAAAAAATATTTTAAATATGCAGAAAAAAAAAATAAAAAATGAAAAATAAAAAATAAAAATTAAAAAATAAAAAAAAATAATTTTTGGGTTTTTTGGGGTAGGTATCTTTTTACCCATCTTTTTGTCACCACCCATAGTATTTTAATCAAAGATCTGATTTGATTTGA